TGAATGTTCTCCTAGAGAAAACCGAACATTGAAATCAACCCAGACAGGCATAATCCCCAAATTCACCATAAAATTGGCAACTAATAGTGCATATAGAGATTCAGATATGATAGATATACCTGTTCAATTTGACTAACTCGGAGAGAAAAGAAACTATCTCAAACCTTTCTCCATCACTTGCAGCCATGAAGCTCTCCAAAACAGGAGCCAACACAGCTTTTTCAGCAATGGTATTTCTGCATTTTCCATCCTCGTGCATGCATCTCAATAAGATACCAACTGCTGCAATTCTCTCCTCAGCCAACTCGGCTTCCAAGCTGCCAATAATGCTTTCGAACACCTTTGAAGAAACAATTGTATTGGCAATTGAAGATACGATGCTCTCTTCACTGTTCCCAATAATCTGTCCCAACAAAAGCACTGAAGCTGATTTTTGCTTCAAACACATCTTGAGCAAATCCTCATCTTTCTTCTTAATTACATTCAGGAGAGCTTCCATCATATCCATCTCAATTAAGGTCATGGTGGAAGGTCTTAATAAATATATCAACACGACTGCCTCATGCAAACCTTTCTTGAAAAGAGCCACAATACACTCCACATCAGATTCAACTCTTGTGAGTGTCTGGATCACAGATTTGTCTCTTGACCCCAGTTCAGATAACAGAAAAACAGTTGCTTTCAATACACGAGGATCAACAGAATTGAAAAGAATCTCCACAAATCCATTGATAACCGGAGGTTTGGAAAGCATAGATTGAATATCCATATCCATATTTGCTTCCTGCCAGAACCGCTCGATTTGGAGTACAGCCATTTCAGATTCTTTGAGAATTTCTGACATACAAAGATTGTTTATTGCATGTCTCAGTGCTGTTATTGTCCCATCAATGGTGGCTTGGCTTATGACACTGTTAGGAGAAGTTGAAGGAAGAATTGACTTGGACATTTGCTCGGGTTCTAGGAGAGGACTCTCAGATTGACTCAAGAGTGAACCAGAGTTGTCTTCTTGCCAACTTGCAATAAGCCGTTTGAGCACATAGTTTGTTTTAGGTAGCTGTGTACTATGCAGTTTCTGGCGTGTAATGGGGCATGTTGAGTTTCCCCTCTCAATCCACTCTTGGATTGCTTTACGTTCGTATGTCTGGCCTGTCTCGAGAGTCACTGGGTCATCAAAGACGTGGCTAGTTATCGGACAAACAAAGTCCTTTGGAGGTGTATGTTTTCCATCGCCAGGTGGGTTATCATTATCTTCCATCGGATGATCCGGAGGACTAAAAGCAAAAGGAATACAAATGTCAAAAAATGAAGCAGCCAACGTAACAATGTTGCCCAATTTTCAAAAGAGACATACCGACTGGATTCTGCCAAAATGGGCTCGTTCTGTTTCTTGGTTCGGAATTTTCTAGGCTCAAACGACGACATTTTTATGTTTTTGTGCTACATGACACGAAGACAACATTATAAATACAGGTAACTACTACATAGGAAAATCAGTCCATGGAGGAGATAGTTATTCTCGTTACTATCGCTTACCTCATTTTCAGCTTCAGAATCTGAAGAAGAGTAATCGTCCAATGAAAACTCAAGTTCAGAATCAGAATTTAGTAGCGGTGACCTTGTCGACTTTCTCAAATTCTGTTCTTCTGGGATGCTTAGAGGGATTCTTTGAGGATAAAATGATGGAGACTTGGATTTGCTACTGCCTGGATATAATTCAACCGACTTTTCTCCTTCTTCAGCCCATATTGGCTGCAGGATAGAAATGCATTAGGCTTGGAATGGTCAAACTAAATATAACAGAAACTAGCTGGCACTACAACTTGGACTAGAAAAGTCATACATCTATTCTAAAACAACAATATAATAATGATATAATATAATCACAAGTTGCAAAAATTATAAGAATGAAGACTTTTAGAGATTAAAAAAAAAAAAATTACATGACAAAATTATAAACCATGGTGTAGCCTGAATGATTCGAATAATGTAAATCCATACAGAAAGGAATTGATTATAATGTATATGTTTGACCAGTTTGAGGAGTAATAAGCATATATTTGACCTTTTAGAATTGTTAGCCTATATATGAGAATCATATCCCATTAACATACTACATTGAGAATCCAATCAACCAATTATTGTTTCTATAAATCAATATATATTTTTTCTATAACTGAGGGTATCCAGACCAGTTTACAGCATACCTCAATTAATCCTCTGGGACTCTAGAACTATCGATGAGGTAAGAGCTCTAATAATTACTCTTATTAACACCTCAGCAACAACTCAAACTTAGATCCTCTTAATACACCCAAGAGTCTTTATCAAACCACCATTGTGAGTAATATAAAATTTCTTTATTCCATTATGGTTACTACATTTTCTATATTTTGGAAGTAAAATCCAAGCCAATGGATCCGCAGGTTAGAAAGTCCAAAAAGTGTTAGGTAGACCAGCTCAAATAATTGATTTCGGTAGTATAAATAGAATAAAATAAATGTATTTGGTTGGACGGTTCAAACAACAGCAGTGCACTGGGAAAATGAACATTGGAAGAATACAGGGAGAGAGAGAGAACAAATGGGCAGTGTCATTTTGAATCCTTCACCAGTTAACCCCTATTCGACGAGAACATCAAAATTATCATTTATGTCAGAAATCAATTTTATAAAAATTATAATATTTTCTAAATTTTAGAAACAATTTGACGAATGGTTCAAAGTAGTTTTTTTTTTTTTTTTTCTATTTTAACCTTAAACTTCATTCTAAGATCGCATTTGAAAGTACACGCTCAAAATTAATTTTTTTTTTTTTAAAATAAACAAATTCATAAGATTAATTAAAAAAAATGCTAGTAATTAGGAGAAAAAAATTAGAGATTGAAGCATATTACATTATAGCACCCTTTTGTCCATCCAAGTTCCTCCTTGAGTTTGTTGCTGTCGTCTTCGTTGCGCTCAAATTTGTCAACTTCTCTCAAAACGACTAATGGTGGATTAATCAATCTGCTATCATCCTTACTTTCTAAAACCTCTTTAAAGTATTTTACGAAAACCCTGCAATTCTCATCAAGAACCTCTTCATAAATTCTCTCAAGCTCTATCAGCTCTGAAGCTTGATCTCCAGTCATTTTCGACAACAGCTTCGTCAGCGGAAGAACCACCGATACATCTTCACCTCCAGAATAATCGTCGCTATCATAACTCTCCCGCATTGATAAAGATGACAAAACACTTGATCTTTGGTCATTGAACCATTGAAGAACAGGAAGAAAATGGACTAGAAACAACTCCTCGAAAAGTAGAGGCACTAACTCTGAACGAGCAAAACCAGGGTCCAGAGTAAATATGTGGAGAAGACTGAGGGATGCGTTGAGGGGTTGATCACAGAGATGATAAATGAGGGACAGGAGAAAGGAGGAGAAGGGGCTTTCAGGATGAAGGAGGAGGAGGCGTTTGGCGAGACGGAGAGAGGAGGATTGAATGGAGGGGTTGGTGGTGGAGATGGCATTTTCAAGAGTTTCAGTGGCCAGGTGTAGAGGTTTGAGTGTGGTTTGGTTAGAATTAGGCGGGATTTTGCTACGAAGAGTTGAAAAAAGGTTGTGGCGGAGGTCAGGTTGGGCTAGGATTTCGGAGATGAAGGTGGTGGTGTGGTGGAGGATTTCCGTTGTGGAGGTGGTGGCCATGGTGGCGGTGACAACAATTGGTCAGTGTGGGGATGATAAGTATCATAAAGATATCAATAGAAATTTCTGTTTCTTGTCCTGGCGCGAAAACTATGAGACGGCCCTCGGAAATGACTAGGGTGACCTCAGTCTCAAGTTTAGGTGCTTTTTAAGTAGTTTCGGAGCTTTGGTAATGTACAAGCAAGAGTATGAAAATAATAATGTTCGTTAAATTAAATTAAATATCCAAACATAATCTTAAATTGAAATCTAGTTTAATTGAATTAGATTTACATCCTTTTTAGTTGAGAAGAGGAAAAAGGAAATTGCAAACTGCATAGGTTAAAAAGGTAATTTCATTTATTTTTGAGTTTCGGGTGCTAGGTGAATCCGTGTGGGCCAGGGCAAAAAAGAATGGATCCAGCTGCCGCCTAGGCCGGCCCGACTTCACGCATGGCTTATTAGCAGATACATTTGTCTCGTAATTACCTGGCAAATTCACGTATGACACGTGGAACTTGGGTAGGCCATACTCTTTGCTCGGTCAACGAAGTAGATATAATAAATTTATTTTCTACAATATGTTTTAGCTTCATTAGCATTATATGTTCTGACACACATTGTACCATAGAAATTCATCGTACAGTTGTTCCATTTGAATGGATTGAATGAAACATACGAAGAGTTCAATATTATCTTTTGTTTGTCATGTATGCTTGCAATTGCCACCAAAACCAGCAGTCTTTTTTTTTTTTTTTTTTTTTTTTTTTTTGGTCTTAAATCATAATTTTCAAGTGACCTTAATTTCTGCATCACTAGGTGTAGGTGGTCCATATGTTACCAAGAAGTTTTCTTTTCTTTTTTAATGACAAAGGGTTTTCGGATCAGCTAATACATATTTTAACTAATCACTCAAGTCTTTAAAACTACCGATCGGGTAAGAATTTCAATGGCTACTCTTATTAGCAATCATGGAGGGACTTGAACTGAGGACTTCATTAAGCAATACACCCAAGAACTCTATTGAACCACTCAACCACTCAAATTAAGGCAGTTACGAAGAAATTTTATTCTAATTTGATTCCAAGAGAGTTAAAAAATAAGAAATGTAATGCATATATAAATATTAGTGTGACATGATATAGGTACCATAACACCTGGCTATATCACAATAATATTCTTTTAATTATTCTTAAACACATAAATACATTCCAATGTTTTCAATAAATTTGAATTGTTTCCACCATTGATTTATTATTTATATGCATATTCTCGGTGAGTCCAAATATTACTTAATTATTGCCCCCACAAACGAAAGTTAAAACCGAATTAAATGCGTAATTACGTGGACAGTAAGGTAATGAACCTAAGCAAAGCGTCAACAGCATTTTGAGCAGCTAAAGAGCCAAAGATGGCAGCTTCATTGGACAAGGCAGAACCTCCACCAGCTAAATCGGACAGAGATCTGAATGCAATAAAGGAAATGTTTTGTTGGTGACAGACGAGAGCAATAGCAGCAGTTTCCATGTCAACCGGGGTTGCATTGAATTTGGAGTTCAAAAATTGTCGATAAGCACTATTGTCCAGCAACACGTTTGCAGAAATCCCCCTTCTAACCCTCACCACCATTGGTGTTCTTGGTAAGCAAGTTTCATTCACACATCCACCCAACTTCAGACTCTGCACCCAAAAAAAAATAATATATGTATAAATTAACGTCAACAGCAACTGGATGAATCCTGTTAAGAGTTAAGGTTACCTTAAGTCTTTTTGCTACTGAAAAGTAATGTTTGTCAACAGGAACCCAGAACAGGTGCTGCCTTTCTTCAGGAGTTCCATAAACTGGGAAGATTTCTTCAGGCTGATACCAAATATTGTTCAGAAGGTTATCTGATGAGGAGTTATCTTTCTTTGTGCCATTGTTATAATCAGAAAACTTAAGATAGCCGATGCTTCTGGTGTAGTCTCCGTCAGATTCAAATGCTAGCTCATCATCAGGCCCATTTCCGTATCTCTGTTTTCCAAAAAAAAAAAAAAAAAAACGATCAGGACTATTTGGAGAATATTTTTTCATCTTTAAAAGGAAAAAGGGGTTCCCGCGGAGGACATACTCTAATTTTCAACTTAAAAATATCATATAAATGAAAGGGAAATCCTCGCAAGACAAGCTTATAATAGTAATAGAATAATATATGAATCTTCAACTACTCCAGAACTGTTAACCGCAATATGATAAGCGTGATTGTGAAAAAGTGATAAATATAGTTGTTGTGCATGATTTTCCCACTTCCGGTTTGCGCCACCTGTCTGCGAACTATGCCAAGATCGGGCAAACAAGATCGCCCCGCATGTCGCTCCCGCAACGGATGACTTAGCTTTATCAGTCTTAAGCATGATTACTCTGACTTAAGTATGGGTGAGGACTGACTCAAATCCGGATTACAGGATTATGCGTGTAATCCATCATGTAATCTACCAACTCTCAACCACTGTCAGAATGCATATATATAAGGAGGGTGCCGTCTTCAACTCAAGGATATATACACACAACCTTGTAAAAACTGCTAGAAAAACATACTTAAGCAAATAACCTACTTAGCGAAGCCCTACAAGCTTGCTATTACGATTCCCCTCTTGTAAATCCATCTGCATGTAATCCAGGTCCAAATGATAAGATAGAAGTGGACGTAGGCTTGGTTTTAATCCACCGAGCCAGTATAAAAATCTCCTTTGTCTCTCATTATTTAGCACAAACTCTATTACCTAGCTGATTATCCATAATCATGCACACATTCCACCCAATCCCGTCTTGGTCGACTAGATATTTTTGGTTGTTGTGGATTTTCATAACAACAATAGTACGTAACTAACATTAGAAAAAATATATATATATATATCATTTGGGGGTGTTTGTGTTTTTATTACTGCAAAAGTTAATTATTTCAAAATTAAGAAAACGACTACTAACTGTCTGGAGAGTGAGAGTTCTTCACTTTCTGCTTATCTTTTCTTTTGATATAATAAGAGTTTGTAGGAAATAATTAATTGCTTGTTTGCCAAAAAGACAGAGGATATATAATAAGGTCAAGAGATCTATATTACTATTTATAGCCTCCAAAATAAGTTTACGTTTTGCTCATATTTCTCCGATAAAAGTAACTTATACCTGCCAGTTCCAAAGGCCAGTATGAGCCCAATATCTGGGAATAGTGACATCTCCAATTTGAAGTTGAGAGTTTGCATTTCCGGCAATTCCATAGTGCAGAACACCTTTCACCTTAAATAGACTTAGCAATAACTGTGTGGCTATACCTGCATTAAGCTATTAAACCAAGACATGCATGTATAAACAACCATATGAAATGAATTTAAAATTCTGCTAAATGGACTGAGGATGCATATATAGAACATTTATAATATCATACCATGCTCAGTCCGGTCATGACAATAATAACCTTCTCATTGCCCAATCCTCCAATTCGAAACCTTCTTCCTGCGAACAATACAATCAGGTGAAAAAAATTATATAAAACATCAGTTAATTAATATATATTTATAGGAGATAAGCATCTTGGGTGGAAGTTCGTTCCTATTTATTATTTCAAATTGAATTCAAACCATAAACATTTATGGAAAGAGTGGGCCAAAAACGGAAGGTGCAAATTTTTGTCCTTTAATCAAACAACTATTTTTGTTTAGAATCGATGTAACTTCAGAAAACAAAAATTGCTGATATATGCAGACGAAAGAAGTACCCGAAATGAAAATGATAAGAAAATGAAGAAAGTTAGACGACAAAAAACATCATAGGTTGTTTCATTCTTACCGGCAAAATCAAAGTAAGGAAAGTGTTGATGAGTCTGAAAGCTCGGAGACTGCAAAAGAGGATTCATCTCATAGGCATTTGGCACTATAATACCCAAGTACGGACCCTCCTTGTTAATTCCATCAATGGTTCTCATATTTCCTTGAGAAATAGCCCCATAGGCTCCACTGATGAACAACTCCACCAACAAAACAAGAAAATAAACTAACATCAATCGTGAATTAAAAACTGCCATTTTCATCCTCCAGTAATCAATGTTCTAGCAACCTAACTCTGCAGTGCAGAAAGGGCAGCTATATAGAGAGAGTCAAGGAGAGATGTAAAGAACAAGAAAGTTGATAAGTCGTATAAAACATATGAAAAAAAAAAAAAAATGTGGTTAATTTGATTAGAAGTTTGTGGTCTTAAACGAAAGTCAAGAAACATGAGATGAAACTTGGTGGATCTCTGCCAAAAGCTTGTCTGGAGTCTAGGACACAGTCATAAATCATTCTAGTTTTTGTCGAAGAAAATAAATTTCCAAGATATAAGGTGTGCAGTGAGCACATCTTTCAGATTCCTAGCTATGTATTGTGTAAATAATCAATTTCATATTTACTCTTTTATTATTTCAATTTTTTTAAATTATATTACTTTGATCAATTAAATCTTGCATGTGTTCAAATGGATTTGTACTGTTTTTTTATTTTGTTAATCTACTTAATTCAAATTTTGAATCTATATTATGTACCAGTGTCACTATCATTATTTCCAACGTAAGTGTCCATGTCCTATTTATAAAAAAAATGGACCACGCTAACGAGTGAAAATAAGAATTCCACGTGGAAGAAAAAAGAAAAAAACTGTGATTTCAATCCTTTCTATTTTAAGTGAAAATTCACAATTCCAATGGAGTTGACTGTTGACCCTTGCATCTCATTGCGTGAAGGAATTAGAAATTAAAAAAAAAAAAGTGTTGAAATGTGAATTAAAGGTTTTAGCTTGATTGAAGTAACGGTTACATGAGACAGATTACACGAGCTTCTCCTTGCATTGTGGTGATTCTACAATTAGTCGTATGATTATGTAATTAGTTTTTTCCTTACATGCCACATTATTATTATTTTATAAATTGACATTTTGTGTACAAACAAATACAGCACAAATATATACAATTCATGGCAAAAGCTTTCTTTCTCTTCTCTCTTTGGCGTACTTCGGTAGCATAGTTGCCTCTCTTGCCCTTTTCTGACATGGTATTAGAGCAAGTTGCTTAATCAAACTCAAATCATAGGTCAGGCCCACATGCCCATTTCGGGTTTACTGGCCCAAATCACAAAGCCGGTCAACCATTCACTTTCCCATTCCAGATTATCCCAACCACCCAACGATGGCCAAAGCCAAGCAACGCTTTGTATTTGCTGTCGTCAGATGGGCCAAAACTCGTTCTGGTCAAATAGCCGCTCACTGGATCAGAAAACTACACAATTTGGGCTCATGATTTCCAGTGAGCACTCATTACAAAGGACAAAGACAGACTCTAAAATGAGGTTGTACCACCCCCCGAAGAACCACATTTGCGCAAACAATGGATCAAGTGCAACACTTTGGTCCAATCCTGGCTTAACAACTCCCTGACCCAAGATGTTGTTGTTGGACTTCCATTGACAAAGAGCGCTGAAGACATGTGGTCCAACATCAAGGAGATTTATGGATAACTTGATTTAGCCAAGTTATTCGCACTCTGGCAAAACTTAGTTGAAGTCAAGTAAAAAAACCAACTGGTGACAGTTTATTTCAACTGTCTGTCGGCGATTTGGAATGAACTCGATGCCTTCGAGGAGTCCTTGGAAGGACCCTCTAAAACTCTACAACTGGTAGTTTATGCATGCACCAAAGCAATCACATATGGAAGCAGCAGTAAAAGTCCTCAAATACCTGAAAGGATGCCTAGGGCTAGGATTCCTCTTGCGTCGGGGAGAAAACTTAAGTCTTAGAACATATTGTGATTCAGATTGGGGGTCATGCCCTATGACAATAAGATCTCTCACTGGTTTTTGCATCAAACTCGGGGGATCATTGATCTCATGGAAAAAAAAAAAAGCAGTCAACAGTCTCTCTTTCATCAACAAAAGTCAAATACAGAGCAATGGCCAAAACCACATGCGAGATCACATGGATTCTTGGGTTATTAAAAGATTTGGATATCCAAATAGAAAGGCCGATTGAATTATACTGTGACAACAAAGCGGCTAATCTAGTATTTCATGAGAGAACAAAGTACATAAATATTGACTACAACTTTATCAGAGAAAAAATACAAGAAGGGATGATCAAGATTGAGCACATTCGAACCACATATTAGTCTGCTGACATCTTCACAAAATCTCTAAGTCACAAACAGCATTCACATCTTTTAAACAAGTTTGGAGTTTATGAAATATATAAACCACCAACTTGAGAGGGAGTGTTGGCATGTGAATTAAAGGTTTTAGCTTGATTGAAGTAACGGTTACATGAGACAAATTACACAATCTTCTCCTTGCATTGTGGTGATCCTACAATTAGTCTTATGATTATGTAATTAGTTCTTTCCTTACATGGCACATTATTTTTTTATAAATTGACACTTGTGTACAGACAAATACATCACAAATATATACAATTCATAGTAAAAGATCTCTTTCTCTTTCTCTCTTTGGCATAATTCGGCAACATAGTTGCCTCTCTGGCCCTCTTTGGACAAAAAGTCTTCCTTTCTTCCTTAAGCAAAAACTCAAAAAAAAAAAAAAATAATAATAATAATAATTATTATTATTATTATTATTATTATTATGTTTATTCTTGGAAGCCATCTAATATTATTTTAACAAGTGGGATTGGTGATTCCTACATGGCTATATGATTACTTTATCAGCTTTACTTTCAATTATAAGAGTAGTTAATGTTATGGATAGGCATAGTTGATGTTTCCCTATGTGTCCAGCTAGCTTGCGCACACCGACACTGATCCCTGACCATTGAACACCTTACAAACTCATTGTAATAGGTAAGTCATAATGTGATAGGTGGCCCCAAGGCTCGAACCCAAAAACTCAATGAAAGAAACGAACTTCCATGACTGTCAAGCCAACAGGGTTAATTGGTGGTAAATTTGTAACTTCAAGTAAGTATATTTATAATTTTCTATTTTAAAACCATGTGTGAGCCAGTTTGTGGGAAATTTGTAATTAAGAAATGTTTATTCTTGAAAATATTTGAGTTAAATTACACTAATAGTTTCCTAGTAGTTGATCAACAATCAATTATTATTATGCTTTATTCATATGGCTGGGAGGTTTGGCGAAATAAATATGAAAATATGCTAAATTCTCAAGACAATAAGGCGATGAATTGAAGCAAAGCATCAACTGCATTTTGAGCAGCTAAAGGGGCAAAGATTGCAGCTTCATTGGACTGAGCAGAACCTTCACCAGCTAAATCAGACAGAGATCTAAACCCAATAAAGTGCATATTTTGTTGACAACACAGCAGAGCAACCGCCGCAGTTTTCATGTCAACTGGACTTGCATTGAATTTGGAGTACAAGAATTCTAAGTAAGCACCACTGTCCAGGAGGACATTACCACTTAACCCCTTTTCAGCTGTCACCACCTTTGGTGTTCTAGGCAAGTAAGTTGTAGCATTCACACATCTTTCCAAATCCAAAGCCTGCAATGTATCCATCCAAATATTAAACAAATTGGTCAAGGAAATAGAAATCCTAATGGATTCTGTAGTTGAAATTGTGTACCTCAATTTCCTTTGCAATTTTAAAGTAATGATCGTCAACAGGAACCCAGAACACATGCTGCCTGCCTTACTTCAGGAGTTTCCATTAACTGGAAATACCTCCTCTGGCTGATACTAAACATTGTTCAGAAGGTTATCCGTCGAGTCATTGCTACTGTCATTCTTATATTCAGAAAACTTGAGATGCCCTATTTCTCTGGTGTAGTCTCCGTTGGATTCAAATGCTAGCTCATCTTCATGCCCATCTCCTTTCCTCTGTTTATTAGTTGGTTTTGTATTGTTTTGTATAAATATACATAGTATGATCACAAGATACAAAAACTGAAAGTGCCAGTATCACAGACCCGTATGAGCTAGCCCAATACTGAGGGATTGTTACATCACCAATTTGAAGTTGAGTTCATGCATTTCCAGCAATTCCATAGTGCAAAACTCCTTTCACCTCAAATAGACATAGCAACAACTGTGTGGCTATCCCAGCATTAAGCTATTTTTTCCAAGAATATAATAATTAATTAAAAAGCTAAATAAATAGTTATCCTAATTTTATTGAGGATGCATAACATATATGGACATACCATGCATGCTTGGTCCCGTCATGACAACAATAAGCGTCTCGTTTCCCAAGCGTCCAGTCCGAAATCTTCTTCGTATTGAACAAAACACTCATGAAACTGAAAACAAATTCATGTATAGTCATAGATTTGGGTTATGATCGTGAGAATGGTAGTTTTCATTGATTTAAAAGAATAGTGTAAGATTAGAGTAAGTTGTTGAGCATGAGATGTTATGATATGTTGACGAAGTGGTCGGTCAAATGTTGATGCCAAATATGAAATTGAAATTAATGTAGGTGGTGTTTCCGTTGTCGAATCACTATAGACCCCTCAATATATTCTTGTCATAGAAAAGGAAAAAGAGAAACAAAATATGTCTTTCAAAGTAATTAGGCCCCTACATATTTCAACTTTTGATTGCCCTACTCATACTCATACTCCTATTCTTTTTCTTGCTTTTCTTTCCACTTTTATTTCCATAAATTTTCTTCCTTTTTTATTTTCTTTTCTTCGCAAATACAAAAAGGTTCTGAACCCCTTTAATTCAGATTACTGTATTTCTATGTGTCTTTTTAATAGATAAGAAATATTTTCAAATAAACTAAAAATCAATTTTGTCTACTTTTATATGGGTTAAAATCGATTGTTTCCAGTATAGAATTTAAATCGTTCATGCATTACCTGCATGCTACAAGGGAAATTATATAGTTATCATATATAGATCAAATGCTAACATTCTAATTAACTGAACGAGAATTGAAGCTAACATAAAGGTTTTAGTACTAATTAAATGTAAAACCATCTCGATATATATAAAAATGAACATACTGATCTCAACCTGATTAAATGAATGCTGCTTGATATGCAACATTAAAATGATTTGGTGATACTACAACTGCATAAATATACATGAAATTAAGCAATTAACATTGCACCAAATTGAAGCTTAATAAGGAGAAACATAGACAAAGCTTAATAATAATTAATGTAAATTAGAGAGTTTTATGGACCTCTAAAGTCCTCAGCTAGCTACAGCACACGCTATTATAAACCCAAGAAAGATTGTATATCATCATGAGCAATCAGCCTTAGATCTTAGCAGAGTGACTGCTCATGATGTTATATCGTTTCATGAAGCTTAATTAAGTCGAGTGTGCTGCCATTAATTAATTAGAAACCTTCTATCCATCTATCGAAACCCTCCACCCAGTGCAGGAGCCCAGTAATCCGCCCCATTGTCGCTCCCAACTTGCAGTGTGCATGATACAGGAACCAGGCACAGCCCTCTACTCCTCAGATCTTTCTTTCCCTCGTCATGCGACTCCTAAATTAAATTAAACCAAAATATTTATTAGTCTTCGTTAATTTTCTGATTTCGTGATTAGATGAATTTACATGTAAATCAAATCAAATTGTGTATATTTGATAGAAGCAATATATACCTGCTCAGAAGCTCCTTTCTTCTTCATGCAGTTATCATTCAACAACTAATCAAAGAAACACAAGTAGTTTAGATAGCATGAGTTAATTGATGTTCACAAACCAAGCAATTAATGTAACTTGAGGAATCTACTTAATAATTATTATATTGATGTTATTAAAATTTTAAAGTCAATAAAGCTGAAAACAGTGTTCTTTTAACACTTCCCTTTTCATTTTAATTTAATAAAACACAATCAACTGGAGGGTAGCTTTTTCAAATTCGCGTCCCCTCTCCTACAGTATCCTTTTGAAGAGGTAATGGATCCCATAAAGCTTACCTGACCAGGGTCTTCAGGAAATATACAATTCCTCTCTCCTTGAACCTAACAAGAGATTATAATCATTAATCAATTAATGTCACATAATACATAAAGATACTCATGTCTCATGCTCATGGTAAAGGAGAGAGAAAGAGAGAGATTATTTTTGCTTTGGGAAATGAGAAATAAATATTGGAATGTTATCGGTATTGTTGACTTACAGATTGCTGCTGTTGCCTCATATTTCCTGATCCGCTACCTAAGTACGGTAGGCTGAGAGCCTGTATTTAAGGGGGGGAAAGAAGAGAAATATTTAAGTAAAAAGAAAAGCAACATTGTGAAATGAAACCACTTTTATTATAGTGTGTTTTCAAGGTGTTAGCAAAAAGAAAGGAAAGAAGAAACATCACCTGAATTTGACTCTGAAGGAATCTGATGTACCCAATGGCTTCTAACAACACTGAGGCCGTGTCAGTCTGCAAAAGTTAAAAAAATACCACACCACAACCGGCCAAACTCATATTAGTTTTATGCTTTTTTCCTTAAATAATTACTAAGAAAGAAAAAATATATTTTTATATAGATGTAGAGATGAAAGGAAGCTTTCATCTTTAGCAAGAACTACACTTTACGGTTTCTATATATATATATACACACAATTGTTTTTATTGCATATAGACTAATTAAAGTTGAAGATCTAAGCTTCTTGATTACGAAAATAAGTTACCTTTCCAAATGGAGAAACCAGCTGGTGAAGGGCAGTAATTCTGTCTCCTAATTTCTCCTTCCTCACCTAGTTAAGCATTGTTAGAGTTCAATCAATTAATTTAGATACAAATTAGTATAAGGTTTTGATTAGAAGCAATTGCTTTCAAGAATATTATAAATTTTTATTATTTTCCCAGTAGATATTTATTCTTAGTTGTTTGATGGATGACATGAGAGATAGTTCAAGAATCGTCATGGTTAGAGAAAAGGACAATCAGGAAAGACAACAGTTTATCATCACAGATGTTTGTGCTTGTGTTTTCGTCTGTGTGTATCCTTATGTGTGTGCGTGTTCAAGAATGAGACAGGGAGAGAGAAAGATAGAGATAGTGGGGCGTTCTTCAATCATTCTGAGGTTTTATGAATACCTTGAATGTTGATTGGGTTGCAGCAGGTTGAATCCTAGCTTTCTTCGCCGCTCCACCAGTCGCAGTGCTATTACACTAAACATGAAAGAAAGGAGAATAAATACGTTAAATAATGATTAAGCTGATAATAATTGGCTTAACCAGTTCGTGTTGACAAAAGCTTAGGTTTAAGTTATAATCATCCAAAACTTTTCTAGAGAATGAGCAATTATAGAAGGATTATAAATGTAAAGCATCAGATATATACATCTGGAAGTTGAGGACTTAAGAGAGAAATCTTGAAACCCTAAAATATTGGGCTTACTTTTAATGAAGGAAAAAAGCAGTAGTACTCTCTTTCTGAATCTCACCTCAGAAGATCGATCCGGTGGTGGGTGTCTCCCATCAGCTTTGTTGGTGGAAAAATCCAACATGTTGCTACTGAAACTTGTAACACATGACTTTGGGGATGAAACAGGCATCATTTGAGACCAAGTAGGTTTGGGTGGTGCTGCCTGGAACTCTTCATTTGCATGTCCATAAATAAAGCTGTTTTGATGGTTTTCTTGCTTCACATTTACAACCGAAGAAGTGGAGGAGTGCTGTAATACTTGTTCCTCCCAGCTCTCCAACTTCTTCCCATGAAAATGCCCCTTCTCCTCTTCATCCACAAATCGACCCCTAATATACAACATAAAATCAACCCACTCAATTCTTAATTAATCGTTAATATTTCATAAACTAACTGATGGGAGAGAGAAGGGATTTATCATATCCAACTACCCAATAAGGATCAAGACTAATATCTATTATATATTTAAACGAAAAAATATGACTTGCCAATAAGCATGTATATGGAGAGTAAGAGATTTACAAGAGTAGTTGGCTCCATGACTCAGGAAGCTCCTGGTTATCATTCCAAGAAGGCATGGGAAAAGAAGAAGAGGAGGAAGAAGAAGAGGAGGGAGGAGGAGTAGTAAATTGAGGGAAGAAATTAGGAGGAGGCAAGAAAGGAGAGGTTTGTGGAGTAGTGGGTGGCCTCATGCTATTGATATTCCACCAGTTAGGGTTTCCGGCCATCATCTGCTGCACCGGTGAGCTCTGCAAAACTCCTCGATTCATGCCTTGCTCCTTAACTCACTTACCTAGCTACCTTTCCCTTTCAAACTAGTTTGTGTATTATTTGTTTACTTTTGATGAATCGCGTTATTTTTTTCTTGAAGCTCCCAAACAAGTCTTTGTAGAAAATGTAAAGAGGTCTTCCTACTATGGGTTAAGTAGTAGGAAAAACCAAAGTCTTATTGTCTTGAGAGAATTTGAATCATGGAGGTTTGAGAAGCTTTGTCTTTGTTTTCTCTCTCTCTCTCTCTCTTTGTTTCTTTATTGCTTTTTTCTTTCCCCCCCCTTTCTTTTATGTTTTTCTTTTCTTTCTTGCTTTTTCTCTGCTTTTGCTTTATCTCAAAGTGGGACAGAAAAGGTGCTACCAATTCTAAATATTAATTTAACAAAAAATTTATTTTCACAAACAAAAAGAATTCACTAAACTTACTCTTGGTGTACAGTTTTTTCCATCGTATCCATGATCCATGTATATATGTGTCTCACTACCACTTAATCAAAACACTATAGAGTTCTGAAAATATTTGTATTCGAATTACGTATAACATATGTAATTACGTTAAATTTTGGAGTTTGAGTTATGTAGTGCTTAAAAAGGCCCTTCCTTCGGATTGTGAAAGACGCACACTCCATTTTAGTCTAAGCATTGTGATAGAAATTGTCTTCCAATTTGTCTTCAAAATCAATATACATGATTGGGTATATGTATAGACACATCAAATAAGATTTGATTATACTTATAATCATCATTGGATGGCCTGATAATAAAATAGCAAAAGGGTCTAACATGGGTTCTTGAGTTCAAGTCTCTCTAAACACTAATAGGGGTGGTTACTGAGAAGATTCACCCGATCGTTCACTTCATAGTCCCGAAAGATTAATTGAGATGCGTACAAACTAGTCCGAACACCTTTCAAATGGATTTTTTAAGATGCACACAAGCTGGTGTGAACAAAAAAAAAAAAAAAAAAAAAATTTCCCTTTTCCCTGAAATCCTGGCAAAATAAGTGCATATACAAGCAATGAGTTTTCAAAATTGGTAAAACCGAGTGGACAAGTTAATACCTGGAAAACGTGTCATAAAGTGGATGAAAATGATACAAAGATCAGGCAATATTAGAATGAAGTGAGACTTAATTAGCAAGTAAGTAACCGAGTTCAGTGCAAATAAATGTCAAAGGAATGAAGTAACTTATAATTCTCATATACATAATTACTTATAAGTAATGTGTAGCTCCAATCAAATTATTACATGGATGAAATCAAATAGAGCAAAGACTTATGTTTCTTTTTAGTAATCACTCTCTCATAACCTAATTTCTAACATTATTTTTAGTATTGGCAATTATATGTATATATGCAACAACTAATTATTACACGTTACGTAATACTGATTCATCAATTGCATATCTTGTTGGATTAAACGTTTAACATGATTATGTTTTATTAATCGTTTTAAAAAATAAAAAATAAAATTAAACTTCACCGACCAAAGTATATGTCACGCTGATGGAAAAAATAAATTTTATCAATTTGGATGTGAAATTAAATTAAAAAATTTTAAAAAGAAAGAGGCGTGAAGGATTTACAGACACATAAATCGAGAAGTCAAATCTAGGGTTTGGAGATCCCTAACCTCAGCCCTCTGTCTCTCTTTCTCTCTGGGGTCTCCGAGGGAATGATTACCATTTCCGAGAACAATAATAGCTTTTTGATCATTTCATTTGGGCACTCTGCCTGTATCTAATAATAAGCCATACAAACAAAGTCAATAAAGTTTCGGCAGTAACTTGAATAAATTTTATGATTTGATAAGGGAATGGAGTGGCCATGGAGGAAATCTTGATATGACAAAATTATAAACATTTTAAAATTATTAAAAAAAGAAAAGAAAAGAGGAAGAGAATTATTCCACAAAGACATTCATTCCCTTGAGCAGCATTTCGATGTCACATACAAACAAATAAACCCTTAAATTTCGAGCTAGCTAGGAACATAACCCATTGTTTTATTTTCATGATAAATATTTGAGCATGTTGTCTGCTTTGTTGGAAGCGCCGTGTCTTCAAACATTCTTTCACCTCCTTCCCAAAAAAAATACAAACTTCTCCTTCTTGTCCTCACCTTCTCCACTTTTATTCTTCTCTCTCTTTGAGAAAAAAGCTTTACTTAATATAATATCTCAGTCGGTCTTATGCGTTCACTCCATACAAAGAAACCTCAGTCACAAAATATAGTCAATTTGAGTCACTTAATTTTGTCTTTTTATTCAAATTTAATAAAACAATTAATGATGCTGATACTTCCATTTAATATTGTTTGTTTAAGCAACAATCAAAATCAGTTGTATTAATTATAATTATAATGAAAGCAGACAATCTTGAAACTTGACATGTCGTTTCCTTCTACTCGAATATTAATCCATCAAAGCTTGTGTAATTTTGGTGTTATCTTGTTCATGCTTTGATTCATCGGATTCCTTATCACATGCTTAATATATAATAATATTCATATTTTTAAGTAATTAATGGATCCATCATTCCTCTTCATGATCCCGAGACGGGTTTCCGATACCCCTAAAAAAGGAGTAAAATCATAACCGTGTTTCTCATTAAAAGCTAATGCAACGGTTATGAGTAGGTAATTAATATTTCTCAAATACAAATATTACGTGTCACATGATAATAATATGAACTTCACTGGTAGTAGTACTGTACTGGCCCCTCTACCCTTCTCTAATTTCCACAGCGTTGAAATTTAATGGACTTCTAATTCTAGGTATGATTGAAAAAAATCATAATAATAATTGTAACAAGAATATTCCTCTTTCAAATATTTAACATATTTACGTATTATACTCACATTCTACCATTCTACGTTAAGAACATATGTTTAATTAATATTACGATTTTCACATTGAATAATGTACATACTAATAATAATTATAATACTTACGTATAACTGGCCCATTACCATTTATGAACATTACTTTAGTAAGTAGCAGTATAGAGTACATACATTGAGATTAAGTCTACGTACAGGGAAATAGTAATGATTCAATAATCTCCCTATTGTCTCAACATACAATTGTAGTTTAAAATATATTATAATACATGAAGAATGATTAACTGATGTTACAATACTCTGATTATTGCTTAAAATATTGAAATTATTTAACACCTTTACATCTAATTCAATCTAATAATTTAAAATAATTTTTCTAAATTGCTAGACTATTTTATGAAGTATATGTATGGTTACTAAATAGTTAAATGTTTTATTTATTTCCATTAGTAGATACATACTCCTAATAAACCACAGCTTTAATAGCATACCACTATATTTTAACATAAAATACGTTAAATTATGTGATTAAAGTTCAAACTATTATATTTTAAGTAAAAGAAGTATTAATAAGATGGTGTTGAACATTAAGAGTATAAAAATGAAAGGAGAAAATGATGTATAGTCCCTGGTAGCCTGTAAAACTGGACACGTAGCACATGATGGCTTTGCGTGCACGCATTTTGAAGCATATATCCATCAATTATCAATCTTATCCAGATGTGTTTTGTTTCACTCAAATTACTTCCCCCAATCACCCTTAAATTCTTCTTTTTTATCGCTTTCTTTCCCCATCTTATTCCCCGTTCAATCAATATATCATATAACATCAATTTATATGTCTCCATGGTATTCAATATATATTTATAATTCAGTAAATAAAATATTATTTTCAATTATTTATTTACTTTTTTCTTTAAATATGTTTTTTTTTTCAAATACATTATGTAAAAGATAGAATATATAAGATATTTTAACTTAAAATATTGATTCAAGCTTTCGACATAAATTTTTAATTGTTAAATTAAATTGAGATAAAACTTTCAGAATCTGAAATTTATCTCAATTTAAATCAAAATTTTAAGTTAAAAAATCTCGAAAATCCATCTATTTTTATCCAACGTAGTATTGTAAACAATAATGTTAAATGTACAAATAAATCTTACAAAGATTTGTGTACAAACTGATGTAACAGAAAATGAACGGAAGAGTGAATATGATGAGTTTGACTTTTTATACTCATTATTCCATTCATTTTCTGTCACATCAGTTTGTACACAAATCTTTGTAAAATTTGTTTATACATGTAGCATTACTCTATTGTAAAACACCTTTTAAGTAAATCTCATAGGATAGTTCAAATTTGATTGATACCGATTTGCTTTTTAAAGCATAGTATAGTTTTCTTGAGATTCTTTCAAATAATATTTATTTTTAACATAAGATAATGGGATGTTAATATTAGGAGGGTTAGAAGATGTGTATGATATATCCAGTTTTGTTGTTAGTGTTATTTACAATACACCGAAAGAGAAGGCCAATTAAAAAAAATCGATTATTAACCATTTGATTATGATATCATGAGAATATAGTCATAATGAATTTAAAAAATGCTTTAAAATAATAAAAAGGAATAATCTCGGGAGACATTAATCAAAAGAGCATATCTCAGTAGGTTATAAACAAAGGCATCAATCATTCTCCTAATGAAATAATTAAATGAGATTTGCTTCTTGCTCTCATAATTACCAATTTAAATACTGATCCCAATAACCCCACCCTCTGCCCTCTTTCCTTTTTCCTATTTTAATCTCTTATTCTTTTGTCTTCTTATATATCAAATAATCCCTCTCCACTTTCTCTTACCCTACAAAAACAACAACCCTCTATTATTTTTTTAATACAATTTTTAACTAATTAAATGCTTATTATTTCCACGCTCATCTTTTACCTTTAATTAAATATATCCTTTATTAATTCCCATTATCATCTCATTGCCGGATTTATGACATCACTAATTAACATAATTTATGTTAGTTGGAGGATGATGATTCAGATTCAATTAAGTCCGATTAGATCTCTGTCTTATTTGCGACGTCTGACGAATAGAATTATTGCAGTAAATTATTCTTATATTTATTGTTACGGACGGTCTACAACGTACAATTAATCAGAGATTACTATACTAAATTAAGATGTCAGTAGATCGGACGGGTCTGGGTCATTCAAAATTAAGCGACTGCACTGGAAGCCGACAAACATTTACACAGGATGAATATGGAAATGGAACAAAGTTGTACTGATACAGACGAAAATTACCTCACATGACAGATCACGTGACTGACAGCCTTAAAGTTAAACCGAACTTTATGGCCAAGGTCTAGTCCAAAACACTAGAGGACGAACCACAGCTTAGATGGGT